CTTGGGCCCCAAAGCCTCGGCTCGGGGGAGAGGGGACCCCACGCTCACTCCACTCCCTCTCTAGACACCCCCACAACCCCCCAGCTTCAGCCTGCAGCTCTGGGGAATCGGGGACCAATAGGAAACATACCCGCCGATTTGAGGGAGATGAGAGAAAATCTGGACCCATTTGCTCCATCCCCCAACCCCGGTCCCACCGGCCCGCTCCGCAAGCCCACCTTTACTCCCCATCTCTGCTCCAAGTGAGAGGCTGAGGACAGGACACTGCTACTTCTCGGGGATTTTGCCCACTTCAGTGGAACCCGGAGGGAGGGAGTAGGGGGCGGGGTCCCTCTGTACCCAGCCAATGGCTCTCCAGAGAGGTGGGGACAGCTCCAAAAAGGGGTGGCTCTCTTTGTAAACACCCAAAAGCTATGATGTCTACAATCACAACGGCGGAGGGTAAGCGTATTTTAGAGGAAGGCGGGCTCTATTTGCAACTGGCCAATGGACGCAGGGAAGGATAGCGTTTTAAAAAGGCATAGAGTTTACTTGCAAATGTCCCATGGCCATAACCACAAGACAGCCTTATTTTTTCAGGGGTTTGTCCTGTCCAAAATCAGCCTCTAGGAGGAGCACTCCAAAAGAGGGATTGTTTTTTTCTAGCCGTCGGCCAATCCCAATGCTCAAAGGCGGACTCACAGCTCAAGTGGGAGGGAGAACTACATAAAGAGCCAATGGCAACCTTAGAAAACGGGAAAATATTTTTGAAGGGCGGAGCTTATATCTAGCCAATAGCAATACCTCCTCTTCTCCACTCTCACTTCCTTCACAAGGTTGGTCCCTTTAAATTCCAACCCTCCCACCTTAACTATAGTCCAAGGGAGTACCTTCGCTCAGGCACTGTACCTAGAAGGAGTGGTTCCAATGTGAATTCTGATTGGTCCGTGCTATCGAGGCACTGCCCCGTGATTGGCTCCCGCTCCAGATGCCCCCACGGCTCTTCCTCCTTCTGGTCCAGCGAGGGCTCATCAGGCCAAGAGTTCGAATCCCGGGATCGCGGTGGGGACGGGGTACCGGCCTGGGGGGTTCCAGAGCCAGGGCTGGGCTGCGGAGTCAAGACTTCCGGCGGCGGTGAGGACTGAGGGAGTCCAAGTTGTAGGTCCAGTTCTGGCGCGTTAGAAAGAGAACGCTGTGAGCTTTCACCTTGGAGGTGCCCTGAGAAGAGACCACCCACCCCTTGTGGCTTTGGTCCCAGCACCTTCTGACATCTCACCTTTCCCAGCCTCTCCAGCCTCTGGCCCGTCAGGCTCCTCGTCCTCTAGTGGGGTAGAGCTACTGGTGGCAGAGTCTTCTCCGGACCCCGCTCCCCGGGCTGCCCAGCCCAGCTGGTCCAGCTGGAGCCCTAGGTCCTCCAGGGGGCGTTCGGCCGGAGGGGCAGTGTCGGGATCACCGCGGCGCCCAGGTTCCGGGGATTGGCTCAGGCTGGGGATGCTCTCCAAGCTGTCGCCCAGGCCGGGCTGAGGGAGTGGGTCTCGCGGTTCTGAGACTGAGCGGCCCTGGGGCCGGGGGCGGCGTGCAGCTGAATCCCGGCGCGCTCCAGAGCCCACCACACCGTCAAAGGCGATGTAGGAGAAGGTCAGCTCCCGGGGGGTGCCCCAGTCCTGCGACGTGGTCTCCTCTTCGTCGTCCTCTGAGAATTCTCGGGCTGTGTGAAGCTCCCGAAAATCTGAGTCTTCATTCCCTCCTGCAGTGAGCAAAGGAGGGTATGAGCTACTCTAAGCGGGACCCCGACCCACTCTCTTCACTCCCCTTCCCAGCTGTGAGCCCCTTTAAGTCCCGCTCTCACATTCCCCCACCCTTACCTTCTGTGGAGTCAGGGGTAGAGGACGCTGTAGACGGAGCTTCTTCTGCGAGAGGGAAAGAATCGAAGATTCTTAGAAGCTTAGACTGTCGGAATCACAGAAGTGTGCCAGTCCTGGAAACTTGGATGGTCCGAATTAAGGAATCTTAGAATATTTGAATCACAGGACCTTTAGAACATTCTACATACAGACTGTAAAACCTTACTATAGTGCTACCAGAAGCTCAGCCTTATAAATTCAAATCAAGGAATCTTAATCTCAGGAGTTTTCAAATTAGGAATTTTAGGAGGTTTCTATTAGTTCACTCTTTCAAAAACCATTTATTGAACACCTACTTTGTACCAAGCACTGTTTTAGACTGAGAATACAAATGTGAACAAAACAGACAAAATCCCTGCCCTCCTGGGGCTTACACTCTCCTGGCGAGAAAGACAACACACACATATATGATGCTGGGTGCTAAGTGTGTGGGGGAAAATAGAGCACGGTGAGGGAAGAGAAAGTGAGAGGGTGCTATTTTCAGATAGGGTGGTCAGGAAGACTTCTTTGGTAAGATTACATTTGAATAGAGCCTTGAATGAAAGGAGGGAGCCATACAGATGTCTAGGAAAGAGTCTTCCAGGCAGAGTAAAAAGCCTAGTGCAAAGGCCCTGAGGCAGGCACTATCCCTGGCAAATCTGAGCAACAGAGAGGTGAGAAGAAATGACTGGAACAGAGTGACTGGGAGGGAGAAGGGTGGGAGAGGAGGGCAGGGAGGTGGTGGTGTTAAGGATCAGGTATGGCTTTCCTTTGCAAGCCCAGGTAAGGACAAGATTTTAGAATGTTGGGATGATAACGCTTAATGCTGAAATAACAAATGCTTAGAATTTTGGCATCTGGACTCCTAGGACATGCAAGTGGCCAGACCTGAGAGTGCTGAAATTCTTAGCTGCGGAAACCACAGGGGTGTGAGACAGAAAATGTTAGACGAGGACTGTTAGAGCCCTGGTCTCAGAGATCACGAGGATCAGATAAGGTATTTTCAACTGTGGAACTTAGCCCCTCAGAGCTAGCTTGGGGCTTCTGCCTACATGAGATGCTCAATACTGTTTGGAAACTGAAATCAGATGCCCTTCCCGCCCCCCACCTCGTTTTGGCAGCTGGGGAATCGGAGGCCCAGGGTAGAATGGGTGTCTTACAGGGTTACTACTAGTGGTAAAGCTCAGTAAGGACCCAGGAGTCCTGGCCCCAACCCAGGGATGGCTGTTTCCAAGGGGCAGGATGTTGGACAATTTGGGCGAGGTCGGGGCAGCCTGAGTCTGGGCAGAAAACGAAGGTGGGATGCGAAGATGGATGATGGAGGCTGGTGGTTAAATCCCTCTTCTCTATCCTGTTTCTACCCCTCCATTCAACCCCCCCCCCCCACCACCACCGCTGGCCGCGGCCAGCACCAGGGCGAAGGGACAGCTCCCGGAGACCGTACTCATCTCTGGGTGGGGTCCGGCGCCATATCCCAGAGTCAGGCGCGACCCCCGTTAGCTATCTCAGTGCACTCCACCTCCGTCTTGACTCACTCAGGTCCTCCGGGTCAAGTCGCCCCCATCGCCGCTAGACTGCGGGGGGGAGGGGAGAGCTTCCTTTGTCTCTTTTGCCTCCTCCCTCATCCCAATTCTCCCGCGACCCTGCACGGAGGGGTTACTGGGAAGGAGCCCACCCGGGCCTCTGGGCCCCACACCAGGCCTGAGCCTCCCCCTACTCACTGCAGTGGGCGAAGACCGGCAGGACCTGCCCCATGGCCCTCCTTCGGCCTGCATCGGGACCCCCGCCCACTCCGGCCACGCCGCCCTGGGCCTGGGGCCGCCGGCGCTCATCTCCGCCGCGCCCACGACGCCGCCGCCATCCTCGTCGCCTCCTCCTCCCGGGCCGCTCCAGCAGCAGCAGCAACAGCAGCAGCAGCCGCGGCCGCCGCCGCCCTCTGCTCCGCTCGGCGGGGGCGGGCGGGGCCGCGGCTGGGAAAGCACTGCAGCGCCGGGCCGGGGGCGGGGCCAGTGGACCAGCGGGGCGGAACCTAAGGGCGGTGGGGGGGGGGCCGCGGGTAAACACAGAGGGAAAAGGGAGGGGGCGTGGCTTTTCTACGAAAGGGGCGGAGCAAGGCTATACTACTGGGAGGAAAAGGCGCGGAAGGAGGTTTGAAGGGCGGGGCCTGATGGAAGGAGGCGCGGCCCCTAGCGGAAGAGAGGAGGAGCCTAGGGTAGAGCAGGGGAAGGGGCTCCGGGGGAGAATGGTTGAAGGCGCCTAGAATAAGGGCGAGGATCTCAGAGTGGGTTGGGGTGGAACCAGGGGAGGCATTCAGGAGAAGGTGTAAAGACTACCGCTCCGAGGTACGGTCGGAGCTGAGATCCTCAGAGTGAGTGGGATAGCGGGCAGGTGAAACTACTCAGAAAGTTTGAGACAAGGGGAGGGGCTCAGATATGAGTGGGGCTTAAGTTAATTTAGAATTATGCAGGTAGTTAGGCGACGTCAAAGACCAAGAAGGTAGAGGCAGGGCCTAGAAAAAAATAGGAAATTACAGGCTGGGGAGGGTACCCAGAAGGTAGACGTAACCTACCGAGAGGGGGCCAGGCTCTCCAGAATGTGGGGACTGGGACTGTAGTTAAGAGGAGGAGCTAAAACTGCGGAAATTAGTAGCGTCTGAGGCTGTGTGCTTGAATGGATGGGTAGGACCTGGGACAGACGCAACTTAAGTCCCGGGGCAAGACCCAGAAGTGCAGAGTTCGAACAGAATAAATAAAGGACTTAAAGATTTTGAAACTGGGGGCGGGACCACTGAGGTAGGAGGATCTTAGAGGGACCAAAGCTGGGACCCAAAGCTAAGAGTGGAGAGAGCATGAATTCTAGAGTTCGTTTTCCTGCCACATTGTTTACTTCTTTTATGACTCAGTTTCCTTTTCGTTAAATCAGAGATTATGTAAATAGTGGTAGCACATGGTAAGTGCTGTTTACTACTATTATTTTCCTGTGACCCAGATCCCAAACATCACTTTGAAGGTGCAAGAGAGAGGACACCCAGGAGTCCAGTCTCTTCTAGTAACTCGACTTGAGTCCAGGTCAAGGGCACAGGAAGGAGATTTAGGTGGTTTAAAATCTCAACGTGGAGGGGATTAATGGAGTGGGGGGGTGGGGTCCAGGTGCAGAGGGTGGAGGCTTCCTGATCCCAGGGCTGAAGGATGGCTGCCTTCGCCCGCCTGCTGGAGCGTCTCCTCTGGCCAGCCTCTAAAAAACAGGAGTCAGAAGAGGAAGAGGAGGAGGGGCACGGGACTCACCACCGGCCTCAGTCGCTCCTGGACGCGCCGCGATGCGTCCAGCGGCCGCACGGGGGTGCGGCCGCCTCTTGCGGCCTGAGCTTCGGGGCGAGTGCTGTGCAAGGCTGGCGCGCGCACATGGAGGATGCGCACTGCGTTTGGCTCGCGCTGCCCGGGCTACCGCCAGGCTGGGCATTCTTTGCGGTCCTCGACGGCCACGGCGGGGCGCGAGCTGCCCTCTTCGGCGCGCGCCACTTGCCGGACCACGTGCTCGAGGCACTGGGCCCGGCGCCTGGCGAACCCGAGGGAGTGCGCGGGGCGCTACGCCAAGCCTTCCTGAGCGCAGACGCACGGCTGCGTGCGCTCTGGCCTCGGGGCGAGCCGGGGGGCTCCACCGCCTTGGCGTTGCTAGTCTCCCCGCGTTTTCTGTACCTGGCGCACTGCGGTGACTCCCGAGCGATGCTGAGTCGCGCCGGCGCCATGGCCTTCAGCACCGAGGACCATCGGCCCCTCCGGCCCCGGGAACGGGAGCGCATCCATAACGCGGGAGGCACCATCTACCGCCGGCGCCTCGAAGGCTCTCTGGCAATATCCCGAGCGCTGGGCGACTTTGCTTACAAAGAGGCTCCGGGAAGGCCCCCTGAGTTGCAGCGCGTTTCCGCGGAGCCTGAGGTGACCGCCCTGGCTCGCCAGGCTGAGGACGAGTTCGTGCTATTGGCCTCTGACGGCGTGTGGGACGCGATGTCTGGCGCTGCCCTGGCGGGACTGGTGGCGTCGCGCCTCTGCTTAGGCCTGGCCCCGGAGCTTCTCTGCGCGCAGCTATTGGACACGTGTCTGTGCAAGGTCCTGGGGGCGGGGCTTGGAGTCACTGAGGGGAAGAATTTAAAGGATCTAGGGAAAAAGGATTTTGAGGGAGAGGCTTCCTCAAACTAGAGGACGGGTAAGGGTCCACCATAGGGCGTGGCCTGCCGGAGTAGGCAGGGCCAAAATATGGAGGGGGCGGACACTGAGGGCTGTCTTTTTTTTTTTTAAGATTTTATTTATTTATTGGACAGACAGAGATCACAAGTAGGCAGAGAGGCAGGCAGAGAGAGAGGGGGAAGCAGGCTCCCCGCTGAGCGGAGAGCCCGATGCGGGGCTCGATCCCAGGACCCTGAGATCATGACCTGAGCCGAAGGCAGAGGCTTTAACCCACTGAGCCACCCAGGCGCCCCCTGAGGGCTGTCTTGAAGCGAGGTGGGAGAGCCCTGTGGTGCTGGATAGGTTAAGAGGGAGGGACTTAACAGAAAGGGCGAGGCCTTTTGGAACGGGGCTGCCCTGGGTTTTAGGAGTGGGTCCTGAGGTATGATTAGTGCCAGAAGGAAAAGCAACAGGGTGGCGGAGTGGGAGGAGCTTCAGCGAAGGGGCAGGGTTCCATGATAGAGTGAGGCTAGGACAGTGAGGGGGGCGTGGTCTAGGTGTCTGGTCCTGGTCCGAGGACTTGGTTTAGACTGGCAGATGGGTGAGACTTGAGAGAAATGGGCCTAATCAGACGGGAGGAGGGCGCTAGAACGCTGAGATTGTTGGGAAGCTCCAATTCCAAGGACAGGGAGCCCCATGCTGGGGCATTCAGCTGTGTCCCACCAGGCTCCCTTTTCTCCACTTTCTCCAGGGCAGCCGGGACAACATGACCTGCATCCTGGTCTGCTTTCCTGGGGCCCCAAGGCCTTGTGAGGAGGCGATCAGGAAGGAGCTGGCGCTGGACGCAGCCCTGGGCCGCAGGGTCGCCGGTGAGCAGGCTCCAGGAGCCTAGCGGGAGGGGTGGTCAGCGGGCAAGGACACCCCCGTAATCCTGCCTCCCTCTCAGAGCTGTGTTCTTCTGCTCAGGAGCCCCCCAGCCTGAACACGGTTTTCTGGACTCTAGCCTCAGAGGACATCCCAGACTTACCTCCTGGGGGAGGGCTGTACTGCAAGTGAGTGGGGGGGGGGGGGGCTGGGAGGTGGGATGGGGGGAGAGGTGGTAGAAGGAGGGTCCCCTCCTAAGAGCTTCTCTCTGCTCTCCAGGGCCACGGTCATTGCTGAAGCTTATTCTCAGCTCCGCCAAGCCTCAGGACGCCGCTGGTAGGTAAGGACCCCATGTTCCTGAATATTGCTCTTGGAAGCCTGTAACCCAGCCCTCCTACTTCTTTTAGTGTTGGGGAAATTCAAGGCCAGATTAGACAAGGGACTTGCCTGATATATTAATAAATTCTCACTCCTAGCCCTAAAGCATTGTGCTAGACATGATGGGCGCAGGGGAGGGAGGAAAGCAGAAGCAGAGAAGAGACTGCTCCTCTTCTTGAGAAATGTGTCCCCTGCATTACTCTGTAAAGCCCCATCATCCCAAGCACCACCGCTTCCATCCATAAATAAGGCAGAGAAATTCCAGGAATGTTTACAACTAATCCCAAACCCTGAATGTGCTACAGAGACCATCCGGGGACATCTCTGAGGATGGTCTGGGTCTTGGATGAGATAAGTGGCGAACTGGGCTCAGAGAGAGCTTGGAGCTTTGGGAAGAGGTGGTGGGTAGAGCCACAGAAACTAAGGCAGGGGATGGGAGTCAGGGAGGAAATGGGAGGGAGGAAGCCAGGGCTCAAGCCCCCAGTCCTTTGCAAGGTAGAAAAGGGAGTTCAGGTAAATAGCCCCCATCTGGGAGTGATTGATGATAATTCCTCAGCAGCAGTGGAGGTGTTTGTCAAGATTATTTGATTTGCAATTGACAGAAACCCAATTCCACCTGGGAAGGCGAAACAGGGAACTTACTGGGTCATGTAATTGAAGACTTCAAGGACTGAAGGCACGACTACTCCAGTTGTCAGATAATGTCATCAGGAACCACCTCTTAGTTTTACTTTCTCATCTCTGACATCATTTGCAGGCAGGATCTCTGCACGAGGTAGCAGAGAGTTGCAGCTCTAGCCTCCTAAGTGCCAGGAGCCCAACATCCCCAGCGAAGAGAGCTCACCAGGTTCCCAGTAGCAGAAGCCCTGGTTCTGCGGCTGGTTCTCATTGACCACCCCGGACCGCCTGTCTTACCAGTCACCCCGTCTCTGACTGGCCAGGCTGGGCCAGATGGGGATGCCTAGCGCTTGGGGCTGAGATCAACTCCACCCAAACCTGATGGATTGGGAGATGGGGAGATAGGAAAATAGGAGTGGTGATTGCAGAATAGAGGGGAGCAGATACTGAGAACGAAGAGGAGGTTCTTAGTAGCCATTTCCCACCTTCTTTGTTCCAGAAGGGCCCACATGGGGCAGGAAAACCCACTAGCACCCTTTCGGACTCTTCCTCGGACTCGGAGGCCTGACAGCTGTTGCCCTTTGGGGACCCTCTGCCCAGCCGGGGCCTCAAAGGAACTAAGAAAGAAAACTCTCCTTCCCCAGCTACACAGACCAGCGGAAGGAAGACAAACGGAGGGAGGAACCCCAGAATGCTTATTTCCCCTTCTCCTACTTCCCTCTCACAGAAAGTCTTAAGAGAGGGGAAATTCCAACCACCCTCTGAACTGAAAAAAAAAAAAAAAGAAAGAAAAGAAAAAGAAAGAAAAGAAAAGGAAGAAAGGAAAAAAAAAAAAACCCACCCCAAACGAAATCAAGTGTTTTTGAAATATTTTGAGCTAAATGGACCCTTACGTGATCACTCAGTTCAATAACCTTCTCTTCCTTCCAATTTTTCATGCTTTGGGAGGAGTTACAGAAGAGTATTGATTATTAAATTTTAATGATATAGAACTCAAAATAAATTTCTCTTGTAGAAAACAAAAACAACCCAGACATTACTTGTCTAGTCATTTGGCAGATGCGTACTGAGGCACCTGCTGTGTGCGGAGGGGGAGGGGCTGCTCTCAGCCTGGCAGAACCACTGAGATCCCGCCCCTTCCCCTCCCGCGGCGGGGGTGGGGGAAAGGCCACCTCCTTTTTTGGGAAACACTGAACAAGATAACTGATAGTATCTCAGATACTGATAAGTGTCTCAAGGAAAATAAAACAGGAGAGGGTGATAAGATGTCTAGGGGGACTACTTTGTTGGTTTTTTTTTTTTTTAAGATTTTATTTATTTATTGGACAGAGAGAGATCACAAGTAGGCAGAGAGGCAGGCAGAGAGAGGAGGAAGCAGGCTCCCCACCAAGAAAAGAGCCCGATGTGGGGCTCAATCCTAAGACCCTGGGATCATGACCTGAGCCGAAGGCAGAGGCTTTAACCCTCTGAGCCACCCAGGCGCCCCTACTTTGTTGGTTTTTAAAAAAAAAAAATTTTTTTTTTGATTGGGGGAAAAGTTCACCTGGTTCCAATTTCAAAGGGTGCAAAATGGTGTACAAAAATGAGATGTCTTGGGGCACCAGCGTGTCTCAGTTAAGCATTTGCCTTCTGCTCAGGTCATGAACCCAGGATCCTGGGATGGAGCCCCACATCGGTCTATCTGTTCGGAGAGCCTGCTTCTCCCTCTCTCACTCTGCCTGCTTGTGCTCTCTCTCTCTCACATAAATAAATAAAATTTTAAAAAGAAAGAGAAGAAGAAGAAAAAGAAAGCATCTGGGTGGCTCAGTCGGTTAAGCATCTGCCTTCAGCTCAAGTCATGATCCCAGGGTCCTGGGATTGAGTCTAGATCGGCTCCCTGCTCAGCGGGGAGCCTGCTTCTCCCTCTCCCTCTGCAGCTCCCCCTGCTTGTGCTCTTTCTCTCTCTCTGTCAAATAAATAAATAAAATCTTTAAAAAAAAAAAAATGAAAAGTCTTTATGCCCCCTATCCCTCAGCCACTCAGTTTTCCACCTGGGGTTTTAAAAAGGGAAGCTCTCTGAGAAGGGGCCAGCCATGCAAATATCCCAGGGAAGCGTGTCCCAAGGCACAGCCAGTGCAAAAGCCTAGAGGCTGGATGGAACGTGGCATTTTCAAGATGAGGCTTGGGATGTCTTGACATGTCTATGACCATCAAATGCCCATTCTCTATCCTATTGGTAACCACTGTAATGAGTTTGGCGTGGCTCTTTTCAGACCTTTTACTTTGCATGTACACACATGTATGTGGGAACTTTGGTGTTTTCTTAATTTTTTTCATACTGTAGATCACTTTACAATTATTTTTCCCCCCTCAATGATACCTTGGAGACTACTTTCATGCTATTTACAAACACCTCATTTTTTTTTTTTCACTGCTGCCCAGCACTATAGACAAGGGGATCTACAATGGTTTTCACTATCCATCCTCCTCTTTTTTTTTTTTTTTTAAAGATTTTATTTATTTATTTGACAGAGAGAGATCACAAGCAGGCAGAGAGGCAGGCAGAGAGAGAGGAGGAAGCAGGCTCCCTGCTGAGCAGAGAGCCCAATGTGGGGCTCGATCCCAGGACCCTGAGATCATGACCTGAGCCGAAGGCAGCGGCTTAACCCACTGAGCCACCCAGGCGCCCCGATATCCATCCTCCTCTTGATGGACTTTTTTTTTTTTAAGATTTTATTTATTTATTTGATAGACAGAGATCACAAGTAGGCAGGGAGGCATGCAGAGAGAGAGGGAGGAAGCAGGCTCCCTGCTGAGCAGAAAGACTGATTTGGGGCTCCATCCCAGGACCCTGGGATCATGACCTGAGCCTAAGACAGACGCTTAATCCACTGAGCCACCCAGGTGCCCCGATGGACATTTTTTTAAAAAGATTTTATTTACTTATTTGACAGAGAGAGAGAGATCACAAGTAGGCAGAGAGGCAGGCAGAGAGAGGGAGAAGCAGGCTCCCTGCTAAGCAGAGAGCCCGATGTGGGGCTTGATCCCAGGACCCTGAGATCATGACCTGAGCCAAAGGCAGAGGCTTAACCCACTGAGCCACCCAGGCGCCCCGATGGACATTTTTTTTTTTAAGATTTTATTTCTTTATGAGAGAGAGAGAGAGATAATAAACAGGAGGGAGGGACAGAAGGAGAGGGAGAAGCCGACCCTGTAGAGCAGAGAGCCCCACATGGAACTTGATCCCTGGACCCCAAGATCATGACCTGGGTCAAAGGCAGACACTTAACCAAATGAGCCACTGAGGTGCCCTTTGATGGATATTTAAACTATTTTCAATTTCTTGCTTTGACATCGCAGCTGCTTGATCCTTGATCAATCTTCTTGTGTACATAGGTCAGTCTCTCTAGGTAGGGGTCCTGTCACCTGTTTTGTTTTGTTTTTTTAAGATTTTATTTGTTTATTTGACAGAGAGAGACAGCGAGAGGGGGAACACAAGCAGCAGGAGTGGAGACGGAAAAGCAGGCTTCCCACAGAGCAGGGAGCCCGAAGTGGGACTCGATACCAGGATCCCGTGATCGTGACCTGAGTGGAAGGCAGAGGCTTAATGACTGAGCCACCCAGGTGCCCCTTGCCACCTGTTTTGTATGGCGCCTGAGCTAAGAATGGTTTTTACATTTTTAAAAGGATGGGAGGAAAAAGGTAATATGTGAAAGACACTATGTCTGATATGCCCCAAATACTTACTATTTGGACCTTTATAGAAAACTTTGCTGGGACGCCTGGGGGGCTCAGTCATTTAAGTGTCTGCCTTCATCTCAGGTCATGATCTCAGGATCCTGGCATCCAGCCCCGCATCAGCCTCCTTGCTCTGCAGGGAGCCTGCTTCTCCCTCTGCCTTCTGCTCCCCCTGCTTGTGCTCTCTCTCTCTTTCTCTGATAAATAAATAAATAAAATTGTAAAGAAAAAAGAAAGGAAACTTTGCGGCCCAAAGTGCCAAGGTGGCACACGAAAGCACTAGCTCTCCCATTTCACAGATGGGAAAGCTGAGCAACAGAGAGGAGAAAAAAGTTGCCCGAGGTCACCCAGAACTGGGGTTCTCATTCTGCTGGATTGAGTGAGGTATAAAAACTGATCACGTCTATCCCTGTACCCAAAGAACTCACAGCTGAGGAGACACAGTGGGAAATAATCATAACCTAGGTGAATCACTGTTCAAGATGTCCCAGAGCAAGGGAGAGAAGGGGATATTACTCAGTTCCTTAGAGAAGAATTAATGTCAGAGCATGGCCTCGAAGGATGAGGTGAAGGAGGTCAGAACAGCACCCAGGTAGGTGGCCACGCTTGAATAAGGAGTGGGAAAGGTGATTCCCTTACCTGGTCAACTGGGCCCTGTTGTTGGTTTTACACTCCTGCCTCGCACCCAGGCACCACTGTGGTTCTGAGCTGTCAGGCAAGAGGGCTCCGGCCCAGATTTATTCTTTACCTCCAGACCTCAGTTTACCCATTTGGGCACGTTGCACTGATGATTTCCCAGGCATCCAGCCCAAGCCTCGGGTTCCTGACCCTGGCCAGGTGGCGCTCTACGGGAGGGGAGTGGCCACTAGCGGCGTCACATGGGGCGGGGCCTGCGGGACCCGCTGCGGAAGGCTAGGAGGGTGCTGGGGCCGAACCCCAAGCTGCCGCATGGGGAGGGGGTTCCCAGGAGCCAGCCCTAGGGTGGGTGCCCCTGCCTCGGCGCCCTCCTATTGCTGGATGATCCCGCCATCCTCTGCGGGAGAAACTGAGTCGCGGCGGGGCGTGCGTGGGGAGACGTCTAGGGGCTTTATCCACACGGGAACCTGGGAGTCCCATCCCCACCCAGGTCCAGCGCTGCACCCCCACCCCCACCCCCACCCCTCCGCTGTGAGTCAGCGGCGGGCCGCGCCCCCTCGGCCCACTTCCTCCTCACCTTCCCCCGGCGGGCGGGGGGCGGTGAGAAGGACCAGGCCCTCCCCGCCCATCCCCCTCCCGTGCTGGGGAAGGGAGGGTTCACCCCTTAATAACCCTTCATAAATTGGCACAGAAGAGAGACGTTGCGGGTCTGAAGATAGCATTTAAGGGACAAAATTTGAGAGAACCTATGCTTCACCAGAGGATCCTCTTAGCCCCCCCACCCCGCCCCTTCAAATTGAATAGAATGTGAAGAAGTGGAGAAATCGTTGGGGAGAGTGAGAAGAAATTGTGTCCCCATTAAGATCCTCCTAAGAATTCCCATCGTGGAAGAGAACGAGGAATCAGGAAGGATCTCTTACCCTCCACCAAATTTGCCCCCTAATTTGGGGGTGACCCTCGGCGTGCATCCCTATGCAATAATGTTGGGGAAGAAGGTAGATAGCGGAAGTCTAGGGTTCCGCGTTGCCCTTTTAAGCGCCCTTCACCACCCCCCGCCGTCTTGAGGTGTCCGCGGCCCCTTTAAGGCGCAGGGCATTGTGGGTGCGGGGAGTGGAATTTTGGAACGAAATGTAGCGAAGAGAAGTACAGTAGTAAGAGTAACATTGTACCCGCCGCCGGCCGAGGGGGCGCGCCGCGGACCGGACGCCGCACCCCCTTTCTGCCGCAGGGACCCCGGATCAAACCTCCAGAGGGAGGAGGCGCCTGAGGACCCGCCCCGGCCCCGTCCACGTTCCCCCCAGGAAGCCGGACTCTATGGGGCGGGACCCTGGGGGAGACTGAGCAGAATCTGGAGCCAGCCCCGAACCCCTGAACCTTGAGCCAGGGGCGCCCCGGGAGCACCCACCCGTGGGTGCGCCGCTCTCCTGCTGAGCAGCCATGAGGTGAGCCTAGAACTGTCTCCAAACCCTTCCGCGCTCAGCGCGGGCTCCCCGCCCCGCCTTTGTCCCCCCTCCCCCAGCTTGCTCCGGGCTGGAATTTGGGGACAGGACACTGGGGGCCTCTGGTTTGAGGCCGAGCCCCCTTGGACCAGTTCCAAATACTGACCACTTCGCCATGACTCCTAAGGCTGGGGGTGGTGCCTGGGAGGTTCTCCTGGAAGCCCTCAGATTTAGGGGCGCTCTGAGGACTCCCGAATTTCTTAAAGACTTTTCAGAGAACCTCCAAGTTGGCAGATACTCCCTGCATAGAGGCCAGGATTTACGCAGGGCTCAGACTCCCCCCAAATCTTAACTTGGGGTCTGGGAGGGATGGGGGGACCGGTTTGGGGGTCCCTGGGACCTGGAAGAGAGATTTGAGACGTAGACCTTGGTTTGCTGGGTCTCCCTTTACGTGGCGCTGTAAAAAGCCTTACCAAGTGGGACCTCGCTTCTTAACTTCGGGTACTTAACCCCCTAAATTGGGGGGGGGGCTCTTGTCCTCCTGTGGAGGTTGGTGCGGATGGACCCACGCGTGGATCCAGACGCAGCCTCGAGGGTCTGGTTGGGACTCCCCTCCCCCGCCGCTCCCCACCTACATTCTGCTTAAAACGAGCGGTGCCTAGGACCGAGCTCCTGCGCTCAGCGCGGAGGGCGGCTCCCCGGCCCGGGGCCAGAAGGGCGGCCCCTCGCCCCGACCTGCGCGGTCCTGGAGAGGGAGGGGGCGCGGCAGCTGGGAGAAGAGGGGCCTTTGTCTTCCTGACTCACCTGTCGAGACAGCTGGTGTGGGGGAGCGGGCAAGGAGCGCTGTGGGCCGGCTGCTTTCCCCACCACGCGCCTCCCCCTCCTCTCACCACCACCCCCCTTCCTGGCCATCGGGAGCTGTGGGGTTGGGAGGGGCGCTGTAAAGCTTCAAGGTCATAGCCCTCTCCCCGTGGGACTCAGGCTTCCAAGACAGTTCCAGCTATCTTCCCAGGAATTTAATCCTAGGGGTGGGGAGCCCAGAGGGGTTTTGTCTTACCCAGTCCTCCCTCGGAACTCCTGGGCTTACCTGAGGGCGGGGCCAGTGTGGGCTGGGGGGCCGGAGTATACCCTCCCCCATTCTCCCCTCCCCCCCTCCCCCCCCATAATCTCTCCCCTGGGGACTGAGCCTGACAATACTATCTCCCTTCCTCCACTCTCTCAGGGACTTCCTGCCCCCAAAGCCCCCAGCTTGAGGGGGAGGCCCCCGAGGAGGACTGGGGATTAACCCCCTGCTGACCACATCCTCCCACTTTCCCCTTACGTTCTCATGCCTCTGCCCTCTGACATCAAGAGTGGCACTGCTTTTTATGACCATTAGACAGTCCCCTCCTCATGTGTTCCTCCTGATGTGAAAGTGTTGGAAAATTTGGAGCCAGGAGGAAGCCACAGACACCCTCAAGGTCTCCTGCCTATCCCCATTATAGCAACATCTCTTCAAGGCCTGCCCTGGAAAGGGGGCATTTTTCCGGGAGCGAGGCTCACTTCCCTCACCCTCTTCCCAGGGGACTCTCCTCTCCCACTGCTCCCCAGCCCCGCCCCTCGCCCCCCCCTCGCGTTTCCGGTCCCAGGCACGGTGGAAGGCGGATGGCGGATGTCCGAGTTAGTGCTGCCTCACTCACTGTGAGACCGTAAAAGGGCAGGAGCAGTTTCTGGGCCGGCCTCCCGCCGCCCTCCCTCCCCCGATCCCGGAGGCCTTGGCCCTCCCACAGGGCCCCCCTATTGCGGGTTGCGGCCAAACCTCCCACCTCCTGGGGGGTGGGCAGGAATCCCACCAGAGGGTTACTTCCACCTCCCGGAGGGGTCTTCCCCGCCGATGGCCACACCCAGCTTGCTGGGCTGTGCCCCCTCTTCCAGGACAGCTAGGATTCAAAAGACCCATGCCCCTGTATGAGGACACCTGGGGAAACTGAGTCTCAAAGAGAGAAAGGTCTGCCCAGGATCCCTCAGCAGTTCACAGGCAGTTTTGAGGGAGGGGAGGGGACTGGGATCCCCTGATTTCTGTCTGGTTTGGCCAGGGACAGCCTTGGGGGCAGTTGGAAGACAGGATGTTAAAATGGAAAATTACAAGATATCGTTCTTTTTCTCCCAGTTTGACAAATATTTGTTGAGTGTCTGCTGTGTGCGGGACTCAGCTGGGATTCTGGGAAGGCTGAGAAAGGGGGCAGAGGTCTGAGAGTCTCAGGGTAGAAGGGACTCAAGAAGTATTTGGGTCCATTTCTTTCCTCTTCCAGTAATGGTAATTATTGTTACCTTAAATTTCTTTTTAAAGAACAGTAAGAGACCATTTGATCAAACATCTACTCTGTGCCAGGCACTGTATTATTATGACTGTGTCCCCACCCCCCACCCGCGCACGGGACAACTGAGGCACAGAGAAATTAAGTAAATCACCTATTAAACTCAGTTTGGAAGTAGGCAACTCTGGATTTGAATTTAGGGCGGTCTCCAGACTATTATGCTATGACAGAAAAAGGAAAATAAAACCACAGGTAACATGGTTTTCTCTATATGAACACTTAAGATACTGCAGATAAGCAAAAAGAACCCTTTCGCTTCCTGTTCATTTGTGGGAAACTGAGGCTTATTGGGGAGGAGAGACAAGAGTGAAGCCACAGAAAACCAAAGACTCTAGATCTGGTTCCTTACCCAGGCTTGTTGCAAAGACTTGCAGTCTGGAAGGGTTGGAGTTGTGGGGTGAATTACAAGTTTGATGGGCTAAATCCCGAGGAGGGGGAATGAAGGGGTGAGGGAAGGGCAAGCCTCTAATCTGGAAGGCTTGAGTAAACCAGAGTGACTATGCTTGATTGCCTCCAGTGATGAGAAACCCTCTTCCTCCTGTTTTGACGCTTAGCTGCCGGAGCAGAGTCTGTACCAAGTTCCAGGTTCTGAGCTTAGGGTTTTTCTTATCGCTCTATATCCTTACAGCAAACCCAGTGAGTTCTGGTTTCCAGGGCTGCAAACCGCAGCTCAGAGACATGGAGCCACGTAGCAAGGGAGTCACTTGCGCCCTTTGTCATCCGCCACATGTTTGCGAGTTTTCTAGAACATAGGGACTTCTGGGGGAGGTGTGGGGTCCTGGGTTGGCTGGGAGAGACGGCTCTCTCCTGTCAAATCGAGGGGGAGCCCATGGGAATCAGGCGAACCCCTGGTTCGGACCAGCTCCCTGCTTCCTGGGCTTTGGGATTTTTCCATTCAAGCTTTCGCCTGGTTTAGTTGTATTTTTTGAACCTAAGTAATGAATTAGTGTTTTCTAGGTAATACCTGCCCCGTGGTTGAAAAAGAGAAAAGAAATAAGCAATTCAAAAGGGTAAACAGCACAAAACATCCATTTCCTCCCTCCTTCCTCAGGCAGCCCAGTGGTGGGCGGGGGCCCTCCTCTGAGGCAGCTTCGAGGGTAGCCTCCTGAGAAGCAACCTCTGCCTAAGTCACCTCACCCCCCCAACCCCCCCCACCCACGATCGCATGTATTTATATCCCCTCACCTTTTTTTTTTTAAACCTCTGATCCACACGTTTCTACCTCGCCTCTTAAAAAATTCAGCTTAGCTGTTCCCTCATCTTTTTTTTTTTAAGATTATTTATTTATTTATTTGACAGAGAGCACAAGTAGGCAGAGAGGCAGGCAGAGAGAGAGGAGGAAGCAGGCTCCCTGCCAAGCAGAGAGCCTGATGCGGGACTCAATCCCAAGATCCTGAGATCATGATCTGAGCCGAAGGCAGAGGCTTAACCCACTGAACCACCCAGGCACCCCTGTTCCCTCATCTTTAAATGGGGTTAAGAACTTGGGTAGACCGGGGTTCAAATTTGAGCCCCTCTTCGTTCTTACTGAATGACATGGGACAAGCGTCTTCACCTCTCTGTGCCCCCGGCTGCTCCTCTGTGAAAAGGGTGAGCACCAGAGCCCACGCCATGAGGTCGCGGGCAAAGGGGGGCCCGGTGCCTAAAACAGTGTCTGGGACACAAAGCTAACCCATGAACGTCAGCGCCTTCGTGGAGAGTTTTTCCTTTTAACCATGAACAACTAAGTGGCGAAGACGTATGTACTGTGTGCCGGGCAGCCTTCTGGGTTGTGGGGACATAGCTGGGAACAGAAAGAAAAGCAATCTCTGCTCTGACAGTTTGGTAGGGGAGACAGGGATCCGACAGGCAGGATCCCCGCTGTGACTTATGGACCAGGACCAGAAGGAGGGGTTTTCCCAGATAGGGTAGTCAGGGAGGGCTTCTCAGAAGAGGTAACATGTAAGTGGAGACCTGAAGGAGGTGAGAATACAGGTTGAGGAAGAAAAATGCACAGGCCCGAGGGGGTAATCTGGCAGTGCTGAAGGAGCAGCATGGAGGCCAGTGGGGCTGGAACAGAGAGGGCGGTGGGGCTGGAACAGCAAGCTTGAGGGAGGGAAGGGATGAGATCAGAGATCCCACAGCTCATGCAGACCACAGAGAGAAGTGGCTTTTATTCCGCGGGGAGCCACGGGAGCTTTCCGAGAAGAGGAGGGACACGGTCTGACTTGTGTTCTAACAGGCTCCTTGTACTGTAATGGGGACACTGTGGCCTGGAGAGGGGCAGGACTAGCCTGGGGTCACTCAGCAGACGCCCAGTTCTCCAGCCAGGCCCGACACTCAGCAGGGCAAGTGTGCTTGGGAGAGCAAAGTGCAGCCAGGGTGGGGTAGCAACTCCAGCCCCGGGCTCCTGGCCAGAGTCTGCCCTGGGTGTGGGTGGCAGGTGTGGGCAAGGTCCTAACTTTGCCCTGCCAAGGGCACTGGGAGCCAGAAACCGTCCCTGCGGCTACACTTGTCTGGAAACAGCACCTGAAATTGGGGTAGGGCCCACGCAGTCTCCGGCGATTAAGACTGGGGACCTGAGAGCCAGGTGGCCCGGGTTCAAATGCTCACTCTGCTGCTTACCAGCTGTGTGATCCTGGCCGAGTCACTGGACCTCTCTGGGCCTCCAGCTGCAGTCCTCACTTGCAAAACGAAGATGAAATAGGGCCCAGCTTGGAGGGCTGCAGTGAGAATAAAATGAGTGTCTCTGGAAAGGGCTTAGAGCACCGGACTAGCCCAGTAAGAGGGAGGTGCATCAATTGTATAAACTTATGGGGAGGACCGGGGACGGGGGCGGTGCTCAGCTTCCTGGCCTAGGGACCAGGAGCTGGGTCTGCCGAGGGGCTTTTCCTGTCCTGCCTTCTACAAGGCTAGCGTCACACCCCAGCCCCCAGCGCCGGCCGAGACAGAGCCACTGCCCGTGCCCGGTATAATTTATCTCCCCGGAAACCCCTGACCACCGACTTCCTCTTTTCAGGAAAAAGTCTGCTGGGGGTTGGGGTGGGGTGGGGACTAGTGCTTCCCCCTGTCTGTGTGTGACCTTGGGCAAGTCACTTCCCATCTGGAAGCCTGAGTTTCCTCATTGGGGGAGGGGGCTTGGGACCAGCCCAGAAGGACTGGTGGGGGCTCCCCGGCGGGTTGTGTTCAGGGTGCCCTGAAAGGGATGCTGACAGTTACTAAGCACTCGGTACGTGCCAGGCATTGTGCCAAGAGCTTTCTGTGCCCAGACTCCATTTTTCCCTCCCACTGCCCTGCGAATCGGCTGGAAGACCCCCACTTTGCCGGCCAGGAAGAAGAGTTACCTGGGTGGGAGGGTGGCTTCCCTGAGTCACATGGAGTAGGCGTCTCAGTGAGGATTTGAACCCAGGTCTGTCGGTGTGAGATCCTGAACTCTGAACCAGTTTCCTGACCCTTCCCCGCCAAGCCTGAGTCAGATGACGCTTTCTCCAGGAAGGCCTCCCTGACTCCCAGGCCAGGGCAGGTGCTCCTTCTGGGCACCCCAGCCCTGGCCTTGGGTTGGCACCATCTGGGGACAGGAGCGTTTCCTGCCCTGGAGGGCAGGGCCGGGGCTGTCTGGATCATTGCCCAAGACCTCGGCTTGACAGAGCAGGGAGTGTCTGCTGATGGCCGCTGGTGCCCCGGGGGAGCCAGATGGATGGGGCGGAAGAGCCTGGGATCTAGCATCCATGCCCAGCGTCCTGCAGACCTCACCCTTCCCCTCCCTGAGCCTTGGCTTCCTCTTCTGACCTGAGCAGGGAGTCGGGGCTGGGGACGGGTCAAGCACCCTGGCAGAGACAGGGAAACCGAGTCTGAGAGCACCAGGCTAGTCCCCAGTGCTGCCCGGCGCTCCTGCTGGGTCCCCACTGTCCCACTTCTGAGTCCCCTCATCCAGCTAGCTCACCTGTGCTCCTCTGCATCTGTCTGTCCGTCTCCCCACTCTGTCTTCCTCCATCTGTTTGTCTGTCTGACTCCCTTCCGTGCTCTCTGTCTCTCCAGGCCCTGCCTTTCCAATTTGTTCCCGGTCTGTCTCTGTCTCTCCCTTCTCCCCTCTCCCCCCACATCCATTTGTTCGTATGTTTGTCTCTTCCCGTCTGTCTGTCTGACGCTTCCTCTCCCTCATGTTCCCAGTTTGCCTGTGTTTCTGTCTCCCTTCCAGTCTGTCCCTGTCCCACCTGTCAGCTTCTCTCTCCCAGGTTCTGCTTGGTCTCCCCATCCGCCTGTCTCTGACCTTCTCCCCCCTCAGGGTGTCTGCCTCCCCCTCACATGCCGGGAAGCCCTGAGTGTCCCTGGGAGACCCAGATGCAGCTGATGGGCCCCTTGGAGGGTGGGGGCCGTGCTCCCCTTGCTAACCTGCCCTGGCCCTGCTCCCCTCCCGCAGTGAGACGGTTATCTGCTCCAGCTGGGCCACTGTCATGCTTTACGATGATAGCAACAAGCGATGGCTGCCGGCAGGCGCGGGCCCCCAGGCTTTCAGCCGCGTCCAGATCTACCACAACCCCACAGCCAATTCCTTCCGTGTGGTCGGCTGGAAGATGCAGCCGGAACAGCAGGTGAAGCCTCTGCCCCCCTCTCGCTCTCCCTCTGTGGCTCCTGGCCCCCACCCGTGCAACCCTGCATCCTCACCCATCTTTCCCCTCCTGCCAAGGTGGTCATCAACTGTGCCATCGTCCGGGGTATCAAGTATAACCAGGCCACCCCCAGCTTCCACCAGTGGCGCGACGCCCGCCAGGTCTGGGGCCTCAACTTCGGGAGCAAGGAGGACGCGGCACAGTTCGCGGCAGCCATGGCCGGCGCCCTAGAGGCATTGGAAGGTGAGTGGGGGTGGGGGGAGCTCCAGAGCCCCGCCTGGGGGCTGCTGCTTTACCACCCCCAAATCACCCCTTATTCTCTTTAATTGCTTCTGCACTGCTCCCCTGGAGAAATCCAGTGAGAACTTTGTCAAGGCTCTTGTGTGCCCCTCGTGCACCTGTGCGTAAAATGCACGATTCCTAGAGGGATGTGTCTACACACACACACACTCCCGGGGGCCCACCTCCCCGATCCAGATCTGGATCCGGATCCTTCCAGCCCCCGGAAGGCCCCTGCACCCTTTCACTAGGTAGCTGTTGTAGTGACGGGTCATGGGTTAGTTTTCTGGCCTCGCTCTTGAGAAAGAGATCACCAGTTGGGATTTCTTAAATGTGAGCGCGCACAGGCATCCCCTGGGGCAGGTGCGTGAACGCAGATTCTGGTTCGGTTGGGCCCCAGGTGCGGCCCAAGCCTCTGCATCTGTAACCCGGGCTCTGGTCATAAGGCTGTCCATCCAGACTTTGAGGGGCGAGGCTTTAGGAGACCGTGAGGCATCCAGGGTCTGGGCGGGGGGCTGCTGTCGGACTTCTCATCCCCCCAACGGCAGAGTCGTTTGCTTTCTGGGGTAAGCTCCTTGCCAGTGGGGAAGGGCTTGCTCGGCTGGGGGTACGGAAGAGTACGGTGGGTGTTTCAGGTTGTGGGGGGAGGAAGAGACTCCCAACCTTTCAAGCATGCTTGGGCTGGGGTCTGAGTGGCGGAGACAGTGCTTAAGAGCCCTGATGCTAGAAATCAGCCTGAATTGGTCTTGTTCACGCAAGCTCTGGTCTGCAAGGTGTGGAGCAAGTGACTGGGCTTCTGCTGGGAGTCATCACAGCACCGGCCTCATTTCTGCGCGGACAAGGGAGGCTGGTGCCCACCCTCATCCTGCACCCAGGCCTGACCTGCGTCCCACACTGCAGCCCCAGGGTCAGGGTCCTGGAGGAAGGAGGAAGCGAGCACCTCTGGGAGGGATTCCTGGGAGAGCCAAGGGAGAGTGTCACGGGGTGGGGCAGGGTCTGGGGTTGACTCACCATGCTTTTCTACTCTCGCCTTCCAGGAGGGGGGCCCCCCCCACCCCCACCACCTGCGGCACCTTCCACCTGGTCTGTCCAGAACGGTCCCACCCCAGAGGAAGTGGAGCAGCAGAAAAGGTGGGGCCAGCCCCTGGGTGGAGAACCTTACCAGCGCCCGAGTTCTAGGATGTTCCAGAACCCCTGGCTCCCAGAGTGGAGAACGCTCCAGCGTTCACTTTCCACAATGTTCCTACTACTCCCTGGGGAGCTAGAAATGAAGGGCTTTCAGAAAACCCCACCTCCAGGAGTCTGAGAAACTCCCCCACTCAGAGTTGCAGAACCTTCTGACCCCCTCAAGCCCTGGTCCCTCACATACCCCGAGTCCAAAAGGTGGTTGTTTAAAAGATCTGGGGCATTTTGTAATTTCCATGTTCCTGACAATCTGATGACTGGAATGCTCACATCTCGGTCCCACCCGTCCCTGCCCTTCCCCCCCATCTCTTTCCTGGGCCCCTGGGGGAGGAAGGCAAGGGTGGGGATTGGCAGTCCACCTCCCTGGAGACCTGGGAGAGGAGCTGGGAGGTTGCTGGCCATCTTGGGGCCCTGAGTGATGGCCGTTCCGTCACCCTTTCTCAGGCAGCAGCCGGGCCCGCCAGAGCACATGGAGCGCCGAGTCTCCAATGCAGGTGATGATTACTCGGTGGCCTTGGGGGGAATGGGGGAATGGGGGAGGTGGGGGGGACGGGGACCCTGGGTGGGGGGGCTCCCTGAGGAGGGGTGCGCCAGCTGGATAAGGAGGCGCGAGGCTCCTCTCTTAACACCCTCCTTTTCTGTGTTTCTTCCAGGAGGCCCACCTGCTCCCCCGGCTGGGGGACCACCCCCACCGCCAGGACCTCCTCCTCCTCCTGGTCCCCCTCCACCCCCTGGTGCCCCCTCAGGGGTCTCAGCCGCAGGGCATGGAGGAGGGGGAGGCCCGCCTCCTGCACCCCCTCTCCCCACAGCACAAGGCCCCAGTGGTGGGGGAACAGGGGCCCCCGGCCTTGCGGCAGCCATCGCTGGAGCTAAACTCAGGAAAGTCAGCAAGGTGAGGGGGCCACGCCGGGCAGGATGTGGGGTGACAGCTCTGATGGAATAATGGGATGAGGCCAGAGTTGCTGGGGATGGGGTGCATCACAGGAGGGCTGGAGGGGGCCAAGAAGCCCACCCATAAAGCCCCCTCCTCTTTGTAATTTCTCCAGCAGGAGGAGGCCTCAGGGGGGCCCTCAGCCCCCAAAACAGAGAGCACTCGGAGCACAGGTGGGGGGCTCATGGAAGAGATGAACGCCATGCTGGCCCGGAGGTGAGCCTGAGCCTGGAGCCATCAGTGCCTTGGAAAGCTCTGGAGAGAAACCCCCGCAGTTAGCACCTGGAGATTCCAGTTCAGTAGGGCGAGGTCGGGGGAGGGCTCAGATTCCGGCTTGGTCTGTTTCTTTGGGTGAAAGTTCCCTCTTTGACAGGCAGATTTGGGTATAATGCTGGAGATTCCATTCTCCTGAGATGGCTGAGGTTTGGAACCACCGAGGTAGCCTCCAGAATGTTCTGAAACCCAGAATTCTAGGACCTCAGGAGGTCTCCCCTTAGGAGAGCCTGCCTCAGAATCTTGGAAGCTCCGATCCCCAGAATTCCAGCTGCCTGAGACAGAGGCTTCCACCCTTAGAATTTTGTGATTCCTAAATGCGAGATTCATAAACCCCCACCCTAGCTGGAGAGCGGCACTATTCGGTGACTTCTAAAACTCCAGTTTCCTTAGCCTTGGAGAATTCCAGAACTCTACACCTTAGACTCCACCTTTCTAGAACTCTGGTAAGAATTACTGAGTGGCTGAGGGAGGGCTGAAGTCATCTGTTTTTGCCTGTCCCTCCTGCAGAAGGAAAGCCACCCAAGTTGGGGAGAAACCCCCCAAGGATGAATCCGCTAATGTGAGTTAGGGGCTCTTCCTGCCATCCGCACCTTAGGCCATACCATTCGGGCAGGGCGACTGGGGAGGGCCGGGGGTGCGCTAGGAATGGGCGGGGTTTGAAGCCAGAGGAGGAGAATGAGCCCTCGGTCTCATGACAGTTTTATTTCCCACCAGCAGGAGGAGCCAGAGGCCAGAGTCCCAGCCCAGAGCGGTGAGTGAGCCAGTCTACCCTGCAGAAACTGAGTCTCAGGGTGCCCTGTTCTCACAGGGAATGCCCCCTGATGGGGGGAGTCTGTGCAAACAATGATGGGAATTCGAGTGTCCTAAGAAGGTTCTTGGAGTAGGGACTGATGGGGCTGGGGGGAAAGATGCAGGCGGGGCATTCCTTGTCCCTGATCTTCCTGATTCGTCGCCTTTCCCCCAGAACCTGTGCGGAGACCTTGGGAGAAGAACAGCACAACCTTGCCGAGGTGGGCCATCCATGCTGGGGCCCCACCCCCCTATAAATAGGAGGGATTTGCCAAATTTGTGTACCGTTCCTTGTAGGAAGGAGCACAGTGGGACTCCCGGACTGGGAAGCAGGGATCCTGACCCCTCTCTCTAACCTCATTTTTGTTCCAAATCCCACCGACTCCCCTAGGATGAAGTCCTCTTCTTCCGTGACCACTTCTGAGGCCCATCCCTCTACACCCAGCTCCAGTGATGAGTCAGACCTGGAGAGAGTGAAACAGGTAGCTTGGGGAGGGGCCCCAAGGTGAAGTTTGGGGGCCAGAAAGGAGCCATAGGAAGGAAGGAGATCTGGGTCCAAACTCTAACACCAACCTGTCCTGGGATTCTATGAAAAGGCCTCAGAAACCTCAGTTTTCCAGCCTGAGCAAGGGAGAGATTGAATCAGAGCGGGGAGGACACACATACCACAACTCCTTTTCCTGTGCTGGGGACAGACCTTACTAATCTACCACTGCACTCATTCCGGATGAGCACCCAGAGTCCTTTCCAGCACACTAGACCCAGACAGCCAGCACCAACTGGAACTGGCAGGAGACTGGATTGTATTTCCCAGCCCTGGTACTGGATGCTCTCCAGTCCTTTTCATCTGGCTCCAAGGATCCAGAATTTTCCCCTAGAATTCTCCAGTTACTCTGTGGCCTTATCAGTGATGTCACTGTGTGTGTTTGGGGTGTGTGTGTGTGTGTGTAGGGGGGTGGTCTTGAACCTTCTACCTCTGGCCCTTCGGTCATTAAGATGGGACAGCTTCATTTCTGCAGTCCAGGAGCCCTTTCTGATTGGTTGTACCCCATTATTTCCAGGAGCTTCTGGAAGAGGTGAGGAAGGAATTACAGAAAGTAAAAGAGGAAATCATTGAAGGTGAGGTTGTTTTTTATTTTAAGCATATATTTTGGAGGCATTGCGCCTCCTGGAAGGGCCCCGTGTTGGAAGGGAAGGAGGAAGAGGCTCTGCCCCTGATCTCTGGCCCTTGTTTCCTTCCAGCGTTTGTCCAGGAGCTGAGGAAGCGGGGATCTCCCTGACCACAAGGCCCCAGAAGATCCCATATCTCCTTTCTGCACACCCGCCTGTTACCCCGCTTTCCCTGCCTCGACTTGACTTGGAATTGGCTGAAGACTACACAGGATCGCATCTTCCCCACTCCCCCTCCTACTTGGAAAATTCCAAAGGGGTGTGGCTTCCTTGGTTTCCCCCCCACGCCCACACCCATACTGGCTGCTGATTGGCTGGGGAGGCCCCCACCCTTTGCTCCCTTTGGTCCTTCCCCTCTGCCATCCCCTTGGGGCTGGTTCCTCTGCTGGGGATGTACCAATTAACCCCACAGTAAGGGGGAAGGAAAGAGGGAATTTCACATTCCCTTGTTCTAGATTCACTTTAACGCTTAATGCCTTCGAATTTTTGTTTTTTTAAGAAAAAAAAAGTATATATATATATATTTAGGTTGGGGGGGGGAAGGGAAATTTTGTTTCTCTTTGGTTTTGATAAAATTGGGGTGTGGGGAATATTTTTAAATGCTGTACCCCAGGCTTGTCTCATTCGGGGCAGCTATATAAGGGTGGGGTGGCCTACCAGGCTGGGGGCACCTCCCCTACCCTAACCCCAGGGAGCTCCCTTCCCTTTGGCTCCTTCCCCTTTTCTATGAGGAATTAAGATGCTATAACTTTTTGGAACCTCAGTTTTTTGGTTTTTTATTTGGGTAGGTTTTGGGGTCCAGGCTATTTTTACCCCCTGGGGAAAATAAGATGAGGGAGAAAGGAAAAGGGGAGGAAACTTCTCCTCTCCCACCTTCACCTTTAGCTTCTTGAAAATGGACCCCAACGGAATAAATCTGCCAGTTTTTTATAAATGTGAAGATTGCTGGATTGATTCAAAGGGCTGCTCTGATGAGGATGGGGGCTGCCCCTCCCACAGTAATCCACCTTCCCCTCCTCTTCCTCCTTCCCACCCTGTACCTGTTCCAGTTCCCAGATCTACCACCCTGAGAAAGCTAAGGACAGTCCCTCACTGTGTGGCATTGGGCAAGTCCTTTTGCTACCCCCAGGCCTCAGTTTCCTCATCTGGGAAACAGCTTATAGTATGACTCTGCCCAGTTCCTCTGGGAATCCTCCCAGCCTCTCTGCTAAAACCAGTGAGCCTTGTACCCATTTTGCAGATGTACGCCATGCTTCTCAGACACATTCTTACAAATGACTTCTTTACCCCAGAGTGCCTTTAATTGTGAAACTTAACAGTTTTAAAAAATCAGAATTCAGAAATGACAGCTCATACACACCCCCTTTGGTGGTTCAGTGGGTTGGCAGGTCATAGCCTGGTTGGAATTTTCCATTTGGATGGGGGTGGGGAACTTCAGGGCTGTGGGGCAGGTTGTCCCACTGGAGGAAGCCTTTGTAGGAAGGAAGGTGAGGGTGAGCTGGGTGATCGGTCTGAAGGCAAGAAGAAAGAAGGAATCCCTGAGTATTCAAGAGCAGGTTTGGATGGGAGATGGGGGTGACAGGTGCCCCACGAGGTAAGGGAACAGGTGGGGGATTCCTATGAGGGGCCAGCAGAGGACAGTGGACAAGGACAATAGTAGGTCCAGAACTTGAGACAGGTAAACAAAGCTAAGACCAAAACACAGAATGGTTCATCCCTAGGCACCACCAATTTTTCTACCCTGGAGGACCAACTCCAGTTGGAACAGACCACAGAAGGTCGAGGTGGGGATCGGGTGGAGGGGGGGGCCTGCACAGCTCCTCTGTGTGTTACGGCACAAACTAAAGGGGGGGGGTATCTGTTGGGATGACCACTTGACCATTGGTACCAATGGATGGTGGTACAGTCCACAGGGGGGACTCAACCTAAGACAGTCCCAAGATCGATCCTAGTCTGCCCCCTCCAAGTGAGGTAGATGGAAAATGATGGGGTCTGCAAGTCCCCTAGGAGTTTGCATTTTCCTTACAATGGTCTTTGCCAATGAAGGGGGAGAGGGTGTCCTGGTGTAATGGATGGGGGGCGGGAAGCCACTCACATGAGTGGAAGTGTGAGTGACGGAATGAGTTAGCTAGGTCCGTGTGTCCTGCTGGCCCATCTAGTAGTGGGTGGGTGGGATCCAATGGAAGACAATGTCTTTCCATGACACAGTGCTGAATCAGTGGACTGGGAAGGCAGGGGGACTGCTGGAACGTTCCACCCACTAGTGGGTGAAGTCCCTGTGGAAGGTGCCACCGAGCAGGTTAGTCGGGACGTGACCAAAAAGCCTGGTGGCCCCAGCACCCCTCCAGCCTCCCTTATGCCCCTAAAAGGACTGGGTGGTATTAGCTGGGCCGGTTCAGGAAGGGACAGTGTGGACAGGAGGAGGTCACGTCGGAGACACCACAGCCACATCGAAGACCAAGGTTCCGCGCGCGGCCTCTATTCCTTGGGCGGTGCCTCGGGCGCGGCCGGGGGGTCCCGGGCGCAGAGCTGGGCGCGCACCTCCCGGATCTGCGCCCGCAGCTCGTCCACGGCGCTCTGCAGCGCCGCCGCCTGCACCCGATCCTGCAGGGCCTCCAGCGCCAGCGCCAGGTGGTCCACCTCGTCCCGCATCGTGCTCCAGGCGGCGTGCCGGTCTGTCTCCTTGCGCCGCTGCTGCGCCTGGTGGCGCCAGTACTCCAGCACCAGGCAGCCGCAGGCCACCACGAAGATGGTGGCCTCGCCCAGCAGCTCGGCGCCCAGCTCCGCGGCCGCGTTCTCGTTCAGCGGCTTGACGGCTTGCATACTGAAGCCCATGAGGCGCATCTTGGTGCGCATCTCCGCCCAGTGGTACACTGCGGGGGAAGAGGAGTAAGGGATCTTTGGCGCGGGAGCCGCGGAAATCCCCGCCCCTCGACGCCTCGGTGTCCGGGCCGGAGCAATGGGCACAGGGCAGCCAGAATCGCCGGCGTTAGGGAGTGGGCGTCTTTCAAGAGGAAAGGCGCTGGGGCGGAGGGCGTCATCTGGCCTGGGGTGGCCCGGGGGTCATCTTTTGAAAGCGTCCAGAAGATTCTGGCGAGCAGCCAGGCATGAGAAAATGCTGCTCTGCAGAGGAGGTCCTGAATGGGGGCCGCACCTCGGGGGTGGGGGTGGGGGGTCACAGATCACCGGTAGGTGTAAAACTTGCTGCTTCAGCTCCTTCCCCAGCGCGCTCGAGGGCCCTCCAGGCTCCTCCCCTCCTCCCCTGAAGGTGGCGCTGACACTCGCGGTCTCCCGACGCGCGTCGGCTGCGGGGTTTGGGGCTTAAGCCAGGCTGTGCTAACTTCTTTACCTAATCACTTACTCAGCTGAATAAGGGCTGGGAGCGTTGTCATCGTCCATGCACACAACACAAGCGCAACACAGATGTTGAAACCCGAGTCACTCCGGGAATCATTAATATCCATCCAGAGACAAGTAGTTGCTGACCGAGAAAATACGGGTCCCCGGGCTCATTAAGGAAGGAATTTAAGGAAAACATCTTCTACTTCTCCCCTGCCACCGCAACCAGCCTGACATGACTGCCTTTCCTTCCTTTTAGGTAGAAGAGTAACACATGCACGTGGGGGGAATGATTTAGACCACACGCAAGGGGCTAGACTGTAAAACCCAAGCCCGCCTTCCCACCTCCAGCTTCAGCCCTGCTCCCACTCCCACCACTTTTGGTCCTTTCTGCATTGATTACTTCCAGCTTATCGCCCCGATGCCAAATAACAAGCTTATACCTCCATTTCTTGATTTACTAAGTTGAATTTTTAAAAAATATTCTGTTTTGATTGTTCTGCTCCGACTCGGCCCTTATGTGACTTTATCACCAATTCTGGATCCTCTCCTTCCCCCACTCTCAACTTTCACAAGTGAGTTAAATTTAAGCTACTTTTTTACTGTTTATTGGTAATCTTTGTCATTGTAGATAATGTGCCTATTGCCTGAACTTCCTGCCAAGTGTACCGATCAGTATATTAACTGCCCTACCCTGCCCCCCAGTCTCCCCCCTTCTATGGTCAGTGCCCCATACTATTACTGTTACATTGCCACTGTGTCTGTCTGTCCGTCTTTATTTGAGAGACAGAGAGAGAGCAAGCACAGAGGGAGAAAGAGAAGCAGACTGCCCGTCGAGCCGGGAGCCCATCGTGGCGCTCGATCCCAGGACCCCGAGATCACCACCACCTGGGTCAAAAGTAAGCCGCTTAACCGACTGAGCCACCCAGGTGCCCCGCCATAGTGTCTTTCTAAGGTTAAAATAAGTCTTCAGTGCTTGGTACACAGACTGAGTCTGAAAATGAAAATATAGAGCATGTATATAATTAAGGTTATGTAAATACTAATCACTGGGAACCCATAACGTAGATGTAATTTTGTTTCTGCATTCTGAAGCAGTAACATTAATTGGTGGCTCTAAACATTGCTACATGTCATGTCACATTTTTAGTCTTTTCATAGTTATTTTTTATATATTTTTCCTTTTTATTTTTTAAAGATTTTATTTATTTATTTATTTATTTGTCAGAGAGAGAGAGAGAGCACAAGCAGGCAGAGTGGCAGGCAGAGGCGGAGAGAGAAGCAGGCTCCCTGCTGAGCAAGTCCGATGCGGGACTTGATCCCAGGACCCTGGGATTATGACCTGAGCCGAAGGCAGTGGCTTAACCGACTGAGCCACCCAGGTGTCCCTCATACTTATTTTTATTTGTTTGTTTGTTTGTTTATGTAGACTCCATGCCCAATATGGGGCTTGAACTCACAACCCTGAGATTAAGAGATGCATGCTCTTCTGACTGAGCCAAGCAGGTGCCCAGTCTTCTCATATTTAGAGTTTTATTTTACTGTATGAAGCTTTTAGTTTTCCCTAGACTGGTTTCTCATCACAAATGCCCGATGTGACCCACCAATGCCTAGCTGACTATGTGACCAAGACCATCCAGCTCTTTGCTCCTATTCTCTCTCTCTCTCTTTTTTCCCCCCATTCTCTTTACCAAATAGTCAGCTGTAGACCTGTGAGCTATTTTCTGGGCTGCAGAGGGGCCATCCTCTCATCCTGTCTTCACATTGCTCTCCTTCACACTGTTCCTCCTCTTGAGGAACTGATTCTTCGTGGAATTCCATCCTAGGTTGGCTGAAGTCTCTCCCTAAGTACCCTTCTCAGAAAGGGTGCTTGGTACCCTTGAATCTTTGCATATTTGAAATAATTTTTTCCACGTTCGCACTGGACTAGATGATAGTTTTTAGGTCAGAATTACTGGTTCAAAAATCATACGCCTGGGGGCGCTGGGGGGCTCAGTGGGTTACTCACGTGCCTTTGGCTCAGGTCCTGATTCCAGCCTCAGGCTTCCTGCTCAGTGGACAGCCTGCCTCTGCCTCTCTCTCTGCTGCTCCCCCTGCTTGTGCTCACTCTATCCAATTCTTTTTAATTAAGAAAAAACAAAAAAACAAAAAAACAAAAAAAACCACCAAAAGACAAAGCCATATTCCTCAACAGTTTGGAGACCTTCATTATCTGTAATGGGCAGACAGGCTTTCTTGTCATCCCTGTGGCACCGACATTGCACCAGAATGGGCCTATGAGTGAGTTTCCCTTATTTTATACCCTTCTATCTGAACCCTGTTTCTCTCTTTAGTCCTGGGGATTTTTCTTGTACATGCATCTAAGGATTAACCTTACCAAAACAGAGATCTGGTCTTTACCCTTGGAATGTCCTGCCAGATAAGACATCTTTGTTCACCAGATAATCTATACCGGCAATGTAATTTATGGTGGGGGCTTTGGGCCAGGTGGTATCAGCTCAGCCTTTGGAAGGGCTAGAAACTAAGGTCAGCCACACAGGTGGTAAATCTCGTCTATATGTCCCATCCCCACTACAACCTCGGATGCCACGGCTCAGGGGAACTTCCCTG